ATGACCGCCTGTATTACTTGGGATAAATGCAGGGGGTACCTCTTGAGTTAATAGCCAACCAACATTGGCGAATCAAGGGGTCTAGCCGGCCTCCGCCGCCTGGTACCTCTACTTCTCAAGCAAGAGTGACGGCGACTGAGTAACACCAACGTTAACTCATAGTCACTCCCTCAAACTTAGTATGGAACCTAAAAGGTTTGAGTAGACCGCCTGTTTTTTGGCAAACAGGGGCACTCAAACCCCTATTCCAACTAGGTAACCTCTTGAGTTAATAGCCAACAAACATTGGCGAATCAAAAGGTTCAGCCGGCCTCCGCCGCCTGGTACCTTTACTACTCAAGCAGGAGTGACGGCGACTGAGTAACTCCAAAGTTAACTCATAGTCACTCTCTCAAACTTAGTATGGAGCCTAAAAGGTATGAGTCGTCCGCCTGTTTTTAGCAAACAGGGGCTCTCAACCACTACTCCTGCTAGGTTAACAACCTGAGTTAAAAGCCAACAAACATTGGCGAATAAAGGGGAACAACCGGTACCAACCGCTTGATACCTCTACTACTCAGTTACTTGGCAACTAGGTAACAATCATGTTTACTTGGTCAAACCACTTTCCTACTTGGTAAAATTTACAAATGACAGGACCGCCTGCCTAAAGATATCCAGTCTTTAAAATGGTTCGAATACCGATTGGATAAATGGCCGACTGATCGTCTATCCTGGAAACAGACAACCAGTCGTCCAGGGGCATAGGCGGCGTGACTAACTATTCGTACCTGTCTGCAACTATCGGCCATGTAAAACAGTCGGTATAATGTACAATTGGATATCAGAATATTCAATACTTAAACAAATTTGAAGCAAAACAAAAAATTCATTAAAAATAAGTCGGTCATCAAAGACCGGCAAAATATTCAGAGCCCCGGCCCCCTGGCCGGATAAATACAAAACAAACGGCACGCAGGCCGTAGAAAGAAGACATAAAGCTTAAGAAGGGGGCAGATCTTCAATATTAGTAGCTGCCGCCTGGTCAGCACTCTTCTTGCTGGACTCGGCTTCAGCTGCATCTTTCTTTGATGCATTACCCCCAAGCGGCACAAGCGCCACTACCGGCTCCTCCTCCTCCAACACTTCCTCCAACGCCTCTTCCTCAGCAGCCGCCAGGATCTCTTGATTATATGTGTTAGAACACTGACGGTACGTTTTTTCCCATGAGGCAAAGTTGGCATTGGGGAAGAGGCGGCCCCAAGTCATGCGCTGGATTTGAGCAGAGTCTTCCATCATCTCCCGGACCAGCTCTTTCTTTTCTTGCTCGGCCTTTTCCGAGAGCTCCTGAGTAAGACTCTTCTCCTGGGCCACCAGGCGTACCTTTACGCTCGCCAAGGATTTCTCCAAGGTTTCGTATGAGGACATCTTTTGGCGAAGAGGTCTCAGCTCGGCCTTGAGATTGTTGATGGTCGCCTCCAGCTCGCCATTCCTCTTCTGGGCCGCCTCTAACTGAGCCCGAATAGCGGCGGTAGCCTGCGCCTGATAATAAAGAATATCAATGGTCAGAACTTCATTTTGGGCAATTTGAAACATTGCCTTATCACAGTCAGAGGCGGCCATAGCTTTTGCAGCCTTTACCTCTTTGTTCTTCCGGTCAAGCGGCTTGCGAAGGCCGTTCACTCGGAGCAGGGCCTAAGTAAAAAGGAACAGGCGTCAGTTTCCAAATAAAAAGAAAACAGGCGTCCTGGAATTCAAATAATCAAAAATATGCTAAGTATACCTCAGCAAGGACCCCTGCAATCCCGTCTAGGTCAAGGGTGCCGACACCCCTGACCGCCTCCCTTTCAGCTGGAGGAATGGCCTTGATCATAGACTTGGCCACCTCTACCAAGTCAGGCTCCTGAGGGCCGGCTGCATCAAGCATAAACAAACGGATTAGACCTAGTAAAAAAGGGAGCAAGTCTAAAATTTACTAGGACAACTTCATACTTCTAGGCGGCCCAGCTGGAGTTTTAGAAGAAGTGGCCGGCTTTTCTCAGCCGCCGCATGTTTCCTGGCAGAACCAGGAGAGCTCGCAACAGTCGTCCTCCGGGCCTTGGGGTCCGGCTGTTGGGAAGAAGAAGCTCTTGGAGCGCCCGTCTAAAAAAAAGAAGAAAAAAGTCAGTATATGCATAAACACAACTCCAAAAAGAGGGTTAAAGGTTCGAAGCCCACCAAGGGTGCCCCCTTGTTGGGGGAGTCGGTTGAAGCTTGTTGCATGATGGAGGCCCGCAACATGGCCGCCGCAGTCTTGGAGGCGGTAATTTTGCTCATGGCGTCCGCTGCAAAAACAAACAGCAAAGTAAATAAAAGTTATAAAAAAAAATGCACGGAACAGCAGAGTGTTCGACAGGCCGACTACCTCTTGAGCACCGACTGCTGAGGCCACAGGCGGCCAAAATTTACTCGTCGTAGAGCCATTTGAAGCTCGGGACGCAGTGCAGGGGTACTTGCTCTCGTACCCCTGAAGTAGAGTCGACCCTCGACTCTACTTTAAAGAGTCCTTTATCCAGGATCTCTTTCTTAGCTTTGGGGGGAACAGGCGGCATGCTACGGCCGCCTGCAAGAAGGGGCGGATTCCTGTTCCACCTTTTGAGGCGCTTGTTCAGCTCTGTGTCTGAACTCTCAATGATGAAGAAGGTGCACCGCCAGTCCTTCCATTTGTTTGTTTTACCTCTCGTCATGAGGTAGCCCCTGTGGCTCGTCAATTGATACCAGCCGGTACCGCATGCCTTAGGGGTCCGGCTGAGGTAGTTCATGTGGGCGAAAGCCTCGAAGCTCGGCTCCACCCCGTGCAGTTCGCACCCGTCCACATAGCCGAGTACGTTGACCCAGGAGTTCGGGGCTAACTGCCATAACCCCAACTCATACCCATCCAAGATCCGCTGAACAGCCGGATGTAATGGGAAGCGCAGTCCAGCCTTGATGGCCGCCTCGTAGCAGCCAAAGCAGGCGCTATCATAACTGGTACCAGCCGGCCAGACGACTGTGTCTTCTGGATCCGGCACAAACACTAAAAAGTCGGGGCCCATTGTGTGGTTTGCGATAAAGCTCTCCACTTTCTCTTGCATGGTCGTGATCCGGCCCTGAGGTACCGTGCAGTAGTAGGGGGTATTTTGCTCTCGATAAGAGGCGGATGGCTCCGCCCAATTTTCCCCCTTCTCAACTGCGTGAGAAAGCCTCGCCTCTTGCAGGCGACTGTTTTTCTCTTCTGTGTCCAGAGAAGCATGGCCAGAAGAGCTAGACTCGGAATCGTCCTCTGACGAGTCCGAAGAGGACGACTCCTCCCCTCTCCCGGAGGGGCCCGCCTCCTCTCCTTTAAAAGGAGCAGGAGAGAATGAAGATTTGTCAACTGTGAAATGGGAAGGGGTCACTTTGATTCCTCCCTCAGAACAGCCAGCTTTCAAGCCGCTTTGTTTCACTTCCACATCTGGCGCCTGGTCAGATGTTTCACTAATCGGCACCCTGTGGGAGGAGCCGTCTGAATTTGAGATCCTGGCAGTCTTTTTTGTTCTGGTCATCATGCTCTGCATAGACACAGATACAGTCGGACTTTGTATAAAGGGCAAAGATGGGTCCGGAAAAGGGCAGGCGGCACTCCTAGTCCTAGATTCAGCCGTCCCCGGTGACCGGTTGATCACTAACCTAGGTCGTGTCGTGTGCTTCCGTGGTGCCATTTCAAAAAATAATAAAATAAAGAGAAAATTAAGAGTAAGAGAACCGACGGTTACCTGAACGAGTGACGGTTGATGAAGTTCTGAAAATCCTTTGCAGTCGGCTTGTCAGAGCAGGCGGTAGGCAGAAAGAGTCCAAAATGTCAGAGCAAGTTCAGGGGTCCGAATGTTCTCTCACAAAGTTCTCAAGTGTGAAAATGACTGAAGTCAACACTCCTTTATATAAGCGAAGTGAGAAGGCGAAGGGTCACTTCCAGAATTCAAAATTTGGGCGGGAGAATCTCTCGGCCTTTCGCCGAGTGACACCTGTAGCAGGCCGTCGCCTGTTACAGTGCGACACCTGTCACTGGTAACACGTGACCAGTCACGTGCCACCTGTGAGGGGCAAATGATTAGGGGATTTTGCTCCCACCAATCGGAATGCGCCACGTGGGCCAATCAGGTCCTGCCAAGTGTCCCCCAGTTGGAACTGTCAGGGCTTGCCACGTGGCACGCGCTTATTCGTCCACCTTGGACCTATTATGTCATGACACGTGGCATACTCCATGCCTAATGGAGAAACCGACCACCCAGGCCCAACTTCCGAGGGAAGCCCAATCAGCCCTAGGTTAACCTAAACCTAGGATTGGCACGTTTCCCAAGGTTATAAATACCTCCCTTAATCCTCATTAAGGGGGGATTACAGAGATAACAGGCTGATCACGCTAACAAAGCAGATTACCTACATTAAACACTGTCACCTAGAGAGACCCAATCACTTTAATTTCCGCATTAATTACTCCTTAATCAAGTACTAACTTGACCGTTGGAGGCGGAGCTCCCACCACCAGGAGTCTCCGTTGTTTTGCAGGTACAGGCGTCCGGTTCCAGTCTCGGAATTGTAACTCTCCCGCAGGACATCAGAAAACCCCGAAACACTAGTCATTCGTGATTATACATATAACATGATTAACATCTATTATCTTTCTAAATTTACTTTAAGATCATACTCTGATAATATGACAATTTTCTCTCATTTTTGTAGTTTCTTTGCTAATATTACCAGCTAATAATTCATACTCTAATAATACGGAGTATGACAATGTTTTCTACTTCCTCCGTCCTAAAATAATTGACATGTTTGACTTTTCTTTATCTAACTTTAATCATTTTTTTTTTTTGCTATCATATAAAATAAATTATTAATTAGTAAGTTGTTGTTGGATTTGCTTTAATTATATTTTGAAATATTAAGTTTTTGTTAAAATTTTATTTTATAAAATATCAATAAAAGGTGGTCAAAATTGATTGATTAAAAAAAAAAAAAAAAAAAAAAAAAAAAAAAAAAAAAAAAAGGTCAAGTATATCAATCATTCTGGGACGGATGGTTCATCATTTTTTTTATGTTCTTTTGCTTCTATTACCAACTAATAATTTCTCCTTTTCCCTTTTTTTTTTTCCTCTTGTGGCTTCAGGTCTCAATGATGAGATGTTTGCCATTTTAGTGCTAATGGCACTCTTCACAACATTTATAACAACACCAATAGTAATGGCAATCTTCAAGCCAGACAGTTTTGAAACCCAAAAGAGGAAGCTTCAACCTGATGCCTCTGTGCATATGGACTCTAGCACTACACCGGCAACCTCGGCTTTTAAAGAACAGTTCAGAGTCTTGGCCTGTGCTCATGGTCCAGGGAACGTATCCGGCCTCATCAACCTGATCGAATCAACCCGAAGCACGGCCTCAAAGAACAATCTTAAGCTCTACATTATGCACCTTGTAGAGCTCACTGAACGTTCCTCATCTATTCTCATGGTCCACCGCCTTCGTCGTAATGGCTTCCCGTTCATTGACCCAACTCGACATCGTAGTCAAGTTGAGGTACATGACCGGGTAGCTTCGGCTTTTGAGACCTACGCTCAATTAGGTCGGGTTATGGTTCGTCCGGTGACAACTGTATCACCCCTTTCGACGATGCATGAAGATGTTCGACACGTAGCAGAGGGAAAGAGGGTGATGATGATCATAATGCCGTTTCATATGATGTGGAGGAAGGATGAAGAAAGTGGAAAGATGAAATTGGTGGAGAATTTAGGGCATGGGTGGAGAGGTGTGAACCAAAGGTTGCTGAAGAATGCTCCTTGCACGGTTTCGGTTTTCGTGGACCGGGGTTTTGGCGCGGGTTGTGCAGCTCAGGATGATGCAACATCTCAAAGGCAGCTTAGGTTTTGTGTTGAATTCTTTGGAGGGGCTGATGATCGAGAGGCTTTGGAGCTTGGGGCTAGAATGATGGACCATCCCGAAATTCGGGTTACGATTATAAGGTTTGTACAGAGCCAAGGAATGGATGCTAACAATGTCAAGCTAATGCCATCTTCAGAAAAGTGCAGTGATAGTAATTATACATTCTCTGTTGCTGCCATAAATCGAACCGAAGAGACGGTGAGCTTCCAATCTCTTGTTATTTTTTTGTTTTCAATTTTCAATTCTTAAAAGAAAAAATAAAAAAAATAAAAAATAAAAAGAGAGAGAGAGAGAACTATGTCGGAGTAAATCAAAAAAAAAATAGCATAAAATTATATGACTCGAAAAAGTTAAAACCAAAAACGGGAAACTAGCAATGATATTAAACGGATAAGTTTAAGGATTTTTTTGTAAATTACCATCCAAAAAACTGTCCACTTTTGATATAACCACCCAAAAAATAATTTATTTTAAATTACCACTCATTAAATTAAAAAAAACGCTAAGATCACCACCCATTTAGAATTTCCGGTGGAATTTCCGTCGATGGGCCCCACTTTTTTTTATTTTTTTTCCTTTAATCTGTCTCCTCCCATTTAACCACCTTCATTCATGGCAACCCACCATAACAACCACCACCCTTCCATAACCACCACCACATCACCACCCAACCCCCACTCCCACGACTGACACGCCACCCACGAGCAAAAAAAAGCTCCAGGATCACTCCAATGGCATCCTCAAACTACCAGAAATTCCCCTTTTCTTCATCCTGACTATCTATCATCAACAACAACAAAATCATCATCTTCATACATCCCACTTTACTAAACACAGCTCTGATTCTTTCGGGGTTGATGCCGGAACATAGAAATTTTCCGGGCAACCCGAAACCCCAAGACCCGACCACCCTGTTCAACCTCAGCCACCTCTAAACCCAACCACCATTCCGTTCAACCCCAGCCACCCGAAACCCATAAACCCAACCACCCATTCAACCTCAGCCACCCACAAAATCCCCCTACCCACGACCACCCCAGCCAATTGCAGCAACATCAGCCCGCAACCACCGTACCCCACCTCTTCAACATCGCTTCACCAATCTCACCCAATTCGTCGCTAATTAAACCCATTTCAGCCACCAATTGGTTCAATTTCATCCCCGACAACACCGATTTCAGCTCCAATTGCAACATTCGACCATCAATTTATGCCCAATTTTGAAACCCAGATGTGCGTTCACCACGAGTTGTTAATTAAATTTTAGAATAAATGCTCAGATCTGTGAAACTCGCCCTTTATTTGGGATTATGAGAGCTTTCTCTCTCTAGATTTTGTTTTTGGGTTTCGAAGGCAGAGGTGGAGGGCAGTGAAGTTGAAGGCGGTGGTCGGTGGGGTGTGTTGAGGGTGGTGGGGTAGATTGCAGTGGCTAGGAAGTATACAAAAATGGAGGAGAGAGAAAGTGGGGGAGATTGGGGTGAGGGAGCAATGGTGGGGGTGGTGGTTGGGAAGAAGAAAGGAAGAAGGTAGGAAGAAGAAGAGTGAAATCGGGGAGAGAGAGTGAGAAAGCCAGAAAAAAAAGGAAAAAAATAAAAAAAAAAGTGGGGCCTACTGACGGAAATTTCACCGAAAATTCTAAATGGGTGGTGATCTGAGCGTTTTTTTAATTTAATGGGTGGAAATTTAAAATAAATTATTTTTTGGGTGGTTATATCAAAAGTGGACAGTTTTTTGGGTGGTAATTTACAAAAAATCCTAAGTTTAATTATTTTGACACATTTTATTTTGTGACGTAGGCACTCAATGAGGCAATGGTGGAAATTTTCCGAAACAAATGGGATGGAACAATGGAATTCATACAAAAACAAGCTAACAACATAGAAGAAGCAGTGTTGACACTAGGTCGAAGTGGTGAGTATGACCTAATAGTCGTAGGCAAAGGTCGTTTCCCTTCAACGATGGTGGCTGAACTAGCAGACCGCCAAGCCGAGCATGCCGAGCTAGGGCCTATTGGGGACATCTTATCATCAACTAACAATGGCATTGTGTCATCTGTGTTGGTTATCCAACAACATGCTTCGGCACATGTAGAAGAGATGCCTGTTGATAAAGTAGTTGAAGGTGATGTTAATGTCCAAAATGCTGCTAACCAAGTTTGATAATCTTTTGGCACAAAGTCTACAACATGGTAAATAGATTTTGTAATACCTTTAGTGTTGTACAGTGCACTGTACAAAATTTGTCTCTCTCATTTCTTGTACTTTAAATATATATAATTATAATATGAAATATACTGAGTACCATAATTTCTCATATTATTTGTTCAAATTTTTAGAGTTGTTTTTCTTAATCTTAGTCTATACAATGATAACTGGCGAGATACCTCTATACTCGTACAATTTATTAGGCCGGAAAATTAAGCTCTTGCAAAGGAGGAGATAGAAAAATAAGAAAAAACTTAACTTTCTAATCCAAAAAAAAAATGATCTATATGATCAAATTAAGCCGTTTTGAAAGCAAGTCTACTTATGATATATCAAGATGAAATGTAGGACATGTAGGTGCAAATTAACAAGCATTTAAATAATAATCCAATAATTTAAGTTATGTCGATATAAATAAATACCAACTTTTTATTGATTAAGTTATTATCTTTATCTTTAAAGGAGTAAAAATCAAATTTCATTGTGTGACTGCCATCATATCAAGTTTAGAATTACTCTTAGGTAGGTTAAAGTTATGCTGAAACTGTTTGAAGTACATTAATATTATTGTACACCCGTTGTACACAAATGTTATTGTAAAATAAAATGCCAAAGGGGAATATAAACTAACAAGAATATGAAGAAAAAAAAAAAGTCTGGACAATTGTGATTCCAGTGAAATTTGAAACAAGAATGGCCTATAATACAAATCGAAGTAACCGAAGAAATAAGAAAATATATCGTTGACAAGAGTAACTAGAAGAAAACAGTCTGAAAAATAGCAATAATTGATCCAGCTCTGTCACAAATAAATGTTTCCAAGGGAAAATCCCTCTTGGGGCAATTGTACACATATAGACTAGAAGCAAACATAAACACCTTTGTATTTGAAGAATGACTGCTTCAACACGAAAATCTTCAAAGGAAGCCACCCTCACCCCATTTTGCATCTGATTTCCCAATATGGCCAGAACTTTTATTAGTCGAGCTATGGTGGAAATCGTCAAACTCATCATCTTTGTGGTCATCCCAACCAGCCCAATCATCATGACTTTGGGACGATCCCCCCTTTTTAGAACCTTCCTTCCAATTGTCCTTTTGGTCCCAATCATCCCAAGATCCTGAGCTGACTGCATTATTTTGTCTGCCAGACGAGGATTGCCCGCCGGCTGAACTTTTGTTCCATCCCTGGGATTCCTGCCTAAAGTCCTGATAATATCCATTCCTTTCGTTTTCAGTTTGATGTGGGTTATCAGTCTTCCAGTTCACCCCGCTTTCCCGTGTAATCTCCTCAACCTTCTGAGAAGCTATTGCCATGACACCTCTCATGATGCCCCATGTCTTCTGACCTATCTCAGAAGTCTTAGCAGTGACAACATTAACAGTTTCATTAACCTTGTAATCATAGCTACCTTCGCGAACCTGTAATAAAATTTCAATGAATTTAGAAAACAACATAAAGTATTATTTTTCAGAAAGACTATTTTATTACTGTTAACTCACAGATGTTAGAACGAACAGTGTCAAACCAGGCTGTTCAATTTAGCCAAAATTACTCAACAAAGATTAAGGATTAAGTATATCTACACTTACTTGAGCAAGATGTAGTACACAAAATATTTAACTTCAATTACAAATGTAAGCCTAAGCTTTATCTCTTCTAAGTACCCATCAGTCCGTCACTCTAACAAAGATATATAGACTTTGCCTGGCTCTTTAATTTTTACTCAACTCAATTATCTAGATCCAAATTCGATAAGAAAACCTATAAATATACAGAGAAATCCGAAAAGGGAATACTATGATACAAAGATGGGCTTGAGATAATGAAGGACATGCCAATCTACCAACTTCATAATGAAGGACATGTCAAACCCCTAAATCTTTGGGTTTATGTTTCATGAGTGTTATTCAGTTATAGGACAGTCCTTGTGTCAGAAAATGAGCCTTGGTGAGTCCAACACTTAAAGATGAACCCATACCAACACTTGTATATGTGACTTGACCTAACATGCCGCTGGTCACTAAATTTAATTTATCATCATTAGGAAACGTATCCTCAATCAGGAGTTTATGCTGAATAGCTAATTTAGCCATGAACTAACTTTGAACATGATCATCCTGAAGACTCCAAATAATTTCTGTTTTCTAGAATACACTGATAATTAAGCTGACACAATATTCCCTCACTATCTTCATATGAAACACTTCGATTGAAACTTTACGCTATTCACAATATACATTCTCTATTTTTTGACGATATTTTGTTAGTAAAAACAGTCATGTAGGCTCATTTTAGATTGGTCTTTACTTTCCAAGTATCCATTTTTTACAATTTTCTTATTGATAATTAAAAATAATAATGGTTGAGAATATGCATATGCAAGAGTGAAAAAAATGAAAAGATTTCATCCATAGAAAAAAAAGGCTGAAGTATCTTGTGATAAAGTACGATAAATAACATCTAAAATAAGACTCCTCATGCAAACATTGCATTATCACCATTCACCAATGAGGCTAATGACGAGAAATTACAAAATCAGTAAACCCTGGAAAAGCTAGCTCTCATATTCAGAATTCTCAAAGCAAAAGAATGGCAGCAGCACAACATCTGACCACACGGAACTATGGATCAAAAATCAAGAATCTTACAAAATACAGTTTCCACTCCGATAAACAAGTATGTGAAAGATGAATCAAAGACGGGGGTATATATTGTCCCAGGCATATTAACCTACACCCACTAATAGTATGTCCTTTTTCATAGCTCCAAACCAAAAACAAAACAGTACATTCATATCCTATGCTTGCAATCTCCGCCAACAAGAATATATCTGGTGGCTGATACATTGACAGCTAGAGCACATCAATGCTACAAGCCTACAATTCACCACTAGTAATCTAGTATGCTATGCCCTTCCCATTTTATCACATAGCTTCATTATAGGCAAACCATGCACATCATCTAAACCATAACCCACGCTCCCACCTATATAATGTTGGAAACTTTGTGAAAACATATAACTTTAAGGTCAAGCCATCATAGAAATCTATAATATGTACATCAGATAGCGAATCAAAGTTAGGTAATACTTCTCAATGAAATCGCCAATTTTTCAGGAGAGATCAATACAAGAAAGACACTACTACTCTCAAAATAGCAAGCATCGTGTACCTATCTAACTTGCTATTTAACAGGACAAAGAGTTTACCAACTTTGAAATCTCAGAAATCCCATACAACCTGCCTAGATAGTTTGGATCCATGACAAGTAATGTACCCTTAAACTCTCATCAGAACATGAAAGTCTAATCAATAGTACAACAAATAAAAGACATGCAAATATATAGTTATTAAAAAGAACTTGAGCATAAAATAATAAAAACACGACAATAAGCAATACAAATACTTATAATCTATACATCAAATATGTTATACACAAATACACTTCTCCTCAACGGTGGCACCTAAGGACTAGAAATTGTGTGAATAACTCCTTTGAAAATTAGTTAAGATGTATTTCTTTCTAGGAAGTTCATTTAAGCTGATGTTTCTATTTTAGGTGAGTTAATGTGTTAAAATACTAATATACCCTCTATTTCTCTAATTATTGTTCTCTGTACTCCCTTCCCCATACCACACCCAGCTCCAAAGATGATCCAACCACAGAACTCTCTCACTCCATCATCATCTTCCCACTCAAAAACGACAAAGACCATCAGTCCACTACCCATCTTCTTTTAACTACACCGCTGCCATGACCCCCCCCCCTCCCCCACTTTCTCCAACAACCCCATTTTCTCCCTTCCTCTCCCTTGACTCCATTACCTCCACCACTAAACGTCCCCTTAGACATCCATCTCCTTAGAAGCAACTTTACTTTAAAGTAGTCTCCAAGCATTACTCTGTGATGCAAACTCCAGCCCTTTTTCTCATCTAATCCTCCACTTCTATCTCCAATCCTCTAAACATATTTGAACCCTAAAGTAGTTCCATACCATTTTCCTCCAACTTCCCCTTTGGCTCCTTCGGAAATTGTATGAAAGGGGAATCTGAAAATGATAGTCCACAACCAACGTCATCTCTAGTGTCACGGGTCTAGCGTGAGATAACCATCGATATCTAACTTTTGTGAAGTGGCTGCTTAACTGCTTGGGTGGTTGTGAATCTCAAAAGGAAGAGGAGTGAAGGTTTGAGGTGAGGAAGGTGGGGTGGTGGTACCCAAGCTAGAAAATTGTGTGGGTGTGTGGTGAGGGTAGCTAGTTGTTCCATCAACTTGCCAAAGAGAAGGATAGGTGGGTAAGGCTAGATAGGGTACTTTTGTTATTTCCCTTCTCTTTCATTTCAGTTTATTGTATCTGCCAAACATAAATGAGATAGGAAATATGTTATATTTATATTACATAAGATAGTGAGAAAAAGGGGAGGGAATGCTTTATCATTCACAATAATCATGCTAGAAATCAAATTTTTGGTACCAATCACTGTCCTGAAAAAGCAATACACATATGCAATACACCGTGCTTGGTAGTGCATAAGTGAAACAATTTCAAAATCTTGACTATGATTACAGTTGAAGAGTTTACTTCTGAGGCATACTTTCTCCATTTATTTTTAATTTTTTGTCACTAAAACTTTAACTTTTCCATTATTCAAACAATACCTTTGAGCATAGTTTTAACTAAGTTATAAACAAATAATATTATGTAAATTGGTGATAGATAAATCTTGTTGTATCTTTCAAAAGTTTACTAAAGATATCAGATATATTAAAGTCAAACATGAAAAGTTGTTGCAAGCTTGAAACTAAAACAGGAATAAAAACAGAACTGTTTTTTAGGGTATACTTCATAAAATACTTGTTGACATAACATCTTTTAATTTTTGTGAAGAGCTTAAAGATAAAAGAAGATTACATTGACAGTGAATATTAGTCTAGCAGTTTTGAAACCAACAACTCCTTCAGTCACAAAATAAACAATTTTCAAGGCATAAGTTCTAGATAATAAGTTGTTGAGGTGTTATCAATTATTATCTTATAGAACGGATGTGATACGAAATGGTAAGGTGTTTTAATTGAAAAGTATATGTGATAGGAGATATTAGAATTCTTTTAGTTGAATGTGTAAAAGAGTGAGGGCCAAGGTTGTTAGGATCGGGATTCTACCTTGGATCGAATTGATAGAATCAGATCGTAGGATCGTAAGATCCTACTTAATAACAAATAATATTATATATTATGCTATAAATTGACTTAAAAACAT